ATCTTGATGAATAATTTGGAAGAAATATATAAGATATAGAATGAAATGAAATATGTAAACGTTCGGAGCATACGCAGTTTTTGTTAACTAAAGTACGTTTTAATAAATCCGTTTGCATGATTGAAACTAGTGACTGCAGTGACTCAACTGTTATCATTCGGATTCAAATATCACATGTGATGAAAGCAATATAAAATTCCATTTAACTTACTTAGTGAACAAGAATAATTGCATACATTGAATGGCAATTGCTTTTAACGAAGGGAGGATGAAATTTATGAATTTTAAAGAAACAAAGCAATGAACGAATCATTTTTTTTCTTCTTTTTTTTCTTTTTTGTAAACAAATTAAAGCAGTTTTATCCTACATGGTGCGTAGCATTACACTGGTGAAATGTAAGCGTCGTAAAATTTTATCCGCGTCGAGTTCCGGCAGGATCTCGAGTTTAATTGTTCGTAATAATAACGTGAGTTTTTTAAGCGATATTCGATTTCTCGATAGGATTGTAGTAATGTAATATCTCACACGCAGTGTACCCGAGATGATGAACAACAAACCTAAACACGTTTCGAAACGGATATCGTGCGTCAGGGCGTTGTAAGAATTACGTATGAATGATGGTGTCGGTAGTAAGTCTTGGATTTATTAAATAAGCCGCGGTACCTTCGCAAATGTGACCATCGCGCGACGATAAAACGATTAACACAAGAACATTAATGATATCTTGTTTTTTATGTAATTGATGTACATTATTGCTCGTAATAGCGGATAGTTATGTAATAATGAAGGTTAAAGAGAGAATAGAAAAGAAAAGGAGGAGAAATAGAGAGAAAGAAAGGCAACGAGCGAGCGAGAGAGAGAGAGAGAGAGAGAGAGAGAGAAAAGTGGTTCGGCCGTAGTGATATGTGCTAAACATTCGTAGTATGTAAAAGTATTAGCTAGATTATAAAATGCTGCGTGAAAACGATTACAACGTAAATGATGATTAACGAAATATGCAGGGTGCAGCTGGTTACGTGAAATGGATGTATTGTCGTCCTGACATAATCTAAGAACGATCGATAACGATAAGATCGTAACGAGTAAAAACGCGCGTGTTTTTGTTGTTATTTATACATTTGATTTGCAGATACTACGATTATATTAAATGACTGTAATACACTTTTGTTCATTCTTTTATTTCTGCAAATCGATCATCAGTCGTATGGCTTGGTTTTCTTTTTTTTTTTTTTTATTCTTCGAGACAATCGTTAGTTTTCGTTAGTTTCGTAATGATAAATAACATAAAATAACCATACATAGCGTTATATAGTTTGATACGTGAGCGCAATGTCGGGGCATTTCGCGATCTTATCGAATGTTCTTAGAAATGCAAGTCGACGTAAATGTATGTGTGAACACGTGTGTACATCACTTTATGCACGCCTTGCACCCTCGTATTATAGTCGATGCATTAGACATCTCATACATTCAGACACACCACCAACAACAACAAGAACAAATAATTTTTTAAGATTCAATTATTATTTAAATAGTACAGTTACATTGTTAGTATGAATAACGACGCTTTTTATACGAATTTTAGTTTTTAATGTCGATCTTATGATATATTATATGGTATAATGATAATGACAATGGTAATAACAATAACGATAAATGATATCGATAATGGAACAGATTAAAGAAAAATGAAAAACTGCGCAAATGAGGAAAGAGAACGCGAAGATAGAATGAAAGAATCGGAGAAAAAGTGAAAGTGAGAATGAGAGAGAGAGAGCGAGAAAAAGTTTATCGAAAGACAGAAAGAGTGTGTGTTTAAGCTAGATGATTGTCTATAGTATAAACGAAGGCGTACGTTAGGTAGCCTTGATGCTATTTAAACAGACTTAATTAATGTATTGCAAATGAATTAATAAAGTGTAAGCGAAGCGTGTATCTGTACAGTGAAATCTTTTCTCTCAATTATTTCAAATATTATTAGTTCATATTTTTGCTTTAAATGTTTCATTTTGAACTTTTTACTTTTTATACCTACTAACTTTAGTTAGTAATACGCATTTGTATTTCCCGCGATTGCCATATATCGAGTTTCTCACTCGAGATTTATCTTCATCACGTCGTTCAGCATGAATGAAAGTTCATAGTACACACACACATATATATCGCATATTATATGCGTAGTATCTACCATTCTTATCGGTAGAGAGGTTAGAAAACGTTTTAAAGTACTTAATATTTTTTTGTTTTGTACTATTTGCCGTATTTTGTATATCAATTTTTTAAGCAGCATGCGATGACGACTTTCAATCATCTTCGAAGATCTGCCAGTAAGTCAATTTTTAATAGCATTTAATTCCGTTGGAATTCGTAGACTACGAATACATAGAAATGTCAATAAATGCCAACTAAAATTAACAAAACAAAAAACAAATCTTGTCATCATTTTCGTATACACATGTCTTACTCTGAATGATTTCACAGAATTATTGAATGATTAATTAATCATTAGTTAACTAATGATCTTGAGACATTAGTTAACGTAATTCCGCGTTTTGCAACTTGCATACATGAAATTAATAAATAGGACGATAAAGTATGTAAATGATAGATTAGTAATTCAATATTTATTAAAAGATTCAAAATGAAATATTAGTTTTTTCAGATATATCTACAATATTTTTTATTTTAATGTTCTTGAAAAATCAATTATTTAATTTGCACCTTGTATCTTTTTCAGAAGCTGTGCAATTTCTACAACCACACAAGTACAGTGTTTACAATAATCTTAGGTTATTCTTACGAAATGAATCGAGCTTCGTACCGAAACGAGTGCTTATTGTGGCAAAACTGTCACGATATCATTTTGAAAAATTACGAGAACCAAACTTGAATGACGAACAATTGAAATTAAAATTACTGGAAAGAGGATCTGATTATGATACAATGATAGCTAGTCATATGGCAACCAAATATGTAAAAAATCAAGTAATCGAAGTTTTGAAGAAAATGAATATAGAATATAAAATAATAAATAGGTAAATATATATAATTTCTATTAATTATATTAAATTAATTTAAATAATTGTTAAACTAATGCTAAATTTTTTCTAATTGTTATGTTTATGTTTTATAAGGCAAAATCTAGACAGCTCAAATTTTAGTTGGGCTGATCTAATTCTTCCTATTGGCGGGGATGGCACGTTTCTATTGGCATCAAATATGATATTTGACAACAAGAAACCAATAATTGGTATTAATTCGTTTCCGGAAAGGTCTGAAGGATATCTTATGTTACCATCGAAATATACAACAAGGATACCAGAAATTTTTGAAATGTTAAAAGCTGGTCACTATGACGTAGTCATGAGACGAAGAATTCGTACTACGATAAAGGGAGATAATATTTGGGAGTCTCCTTTCCATTCACATGAAAAGGGTCGCGTTGTAGGTGAAGAAAAGTAATAAATTAAAACATTTTCCATACAACATAAATGAAAAAGTATCATACATTAAGAAAATGTTTTTCAGATTTTATGTGCAAGATTTGAAACGCGAAACAAGAAACACTTTACCAAAAGAAAGACGTTTGCCTTGGTTGGCATTAAATGAAGTAAGTTCCATTCAAATGAATGATATACTTTTTAATAATTATATATTCGCATCTAACGTTTTTTTACATGTAGGTATTTATAGCAGAAGTACTTTCTGCTAGAACAAGTACCTTACTTATAAATGTGAATAATGAAGAAAAATATCATTTGGTGAAAAGTTCTGGCTTGTGTGTTAGCACAGGAACAGGATCAACATCTTGGTATAGATCTATAAATAGTGTTAGTCCACAAGTAGTAAAAGAAATACTGAGGCTTTTAAATAAGAGAGAATTTAGTAATGAAGAGATTGAACAAATCTGTTCTACTTTCAATGCTACCTTATCTTTTCATGCTGGTAAGCATAATATTGTATTAAGTAAAAGAAAAAAATTATTAATAAAACAATCGTTTGTGTTTTAGAGGAATTAAAATTATGTTATACTATAAGAGATCTAATAGTGACTGACATATGGCCTACGCCAAAATGTCTACATCCCCGTGGATTTTGTAATAAACTAACAGTAGTATCGAACTGTTATGATGCTGGAATAGTTCTTGATGGAGGTATAGCTGTGCCATTTAATTTTGGAACTACTGCAATATTGGAGACTCATCCTGAAGATTCTTTACGAGCGTTAACTCTTCCAGAATGATAAGAATTTATTTCGAATAAAAATCTAATTCATATAGTTTAAGAAATTGGGAAATAGTTTAAATAGTTTTGATTTATTAAAGATTAAATGCAGTATGTAAGTTCTACATTTGTATCTCAGAATATTTTGGAATTTTATAAAATGCATTTAATTTGATATTCATATTGTGTACAGTTAAAGATTAGTACTGGTGTGATCCATTTTCCAATGAATAGTAATAAAGTCAATGTAATAATATATATGTAATATAAGAAAATTTTTATGAAATTGTATTTCATAAGAACAAAGGAATAAAAGTATTGTTTATATATAAAATTCTAATCAATCATTTATTTATTCAGTCTATTTTTCGTTACAAAATTAGCACTTAAACCACAATTATAAAACAATTTGTTTTATATAGAATTATAATTATAGTTTAAGCGCCGATTTTGTCTTATGTAGAATTAAGGAGTGCTGAAAAAGAAAACCTAATACAGTAACTAGAAGGGCTATTAATAAAGAAAATCTAAAACAGTAGCCAGAAGAGCTACTAAAAAAACATTTCCAGTAGAATAACCAGAAGGGCTATTGTCAAATCTACATTTGACATAAATCCGAGCAATAAATCTTATCTTGTTTCGCAACACTAATTCACTAAGCATTAATTGTGAAACAGGAAACTTTCAAAATCAAACGCGATGAGTGCTTTGTCATATTTAAAACTTCCGAAAATAAATACGCAACGCTATTAATCTATGCACTGGTCTTGAGAAATATGCAACATTAAGATAAATTTACGTAATACTAAAACAACTATGAAAATTAACAATGAAAATTGCAAAAAACAATCGCGGTATCATAACGCAACTCTAAAGCAAATATGATTATCATTTCTTCGCAGCTCTGATTTAAACCGTAATCGATCTTTCGCAACACTAACAAAAAAACCGCGATTCGCCCAAAATGATGATGACCGACGATGAAGAAGAAAAAAAAATACAACTACAAATACTAAAAGAGCATAGTGACAAAAGTAGTAACGAGAATGACTTTTCATGCTCTAGAATCATTTAAATGATCCAGAAGATGAGAAATCATTTGTTGTGGCCCTCTTCGTGGCAGTTTGCCGGGCCTCTTCGGCTTTAAGCTTTTTCTTTCTTCGAGCGCAATGCCCGCTGAAACTTACATCTAGCTCGAGTCTTTCTAACCGCAAACCAAAAAATAATTTATAAAGGTGAAATAAAAAAATGAATCGCGGAAGCTGACCTCAATACACATGGACGACCATCGATCATAGTGATTCGATCGTTGTTCGTTCGC